GGGAGTTTTGAAAACCCCCTAAAATAGATTAAACGATTTGAAGGTCGAAATCTACATATGGGAATTTTGAAAATGACTTAATATAGATTAGATTAATTTAAAAATAGAGAATCGAATTTCAATGTTATTCTTACAATCGAGATGTGTGTAATCGAAGATTTACAAATTTCTATAAAAGGACGTGCCATCTGAGCTTTGAGATGTCAATTCGAACATTCTTAAAAAAAATCAAAATATCTATTAAGATGGAAATGCCCAAGATCGAACCTCAAGATGAAGAAAGGATGAAAATGCTTTCAAACATTTTAACGTATACCTGTTCATTATCTACGAATGAGATTAAAGATCTCTATTCAGTTTTACAGGGATATTGTTTGGGACTTGGTGATTTCAACGAATGGGATTGGATTTGTCCCGAACTTCCAACGATATACGAGCTGGAAGATGAATCTTCGCTTCAATCCGAATCCATATTGAAAAAAACTTTTAACGAGTATTCGATGCTTGGTAATTGGTGCGATGCGTGTAACAAATTTTCTGAGGAAACTCATACCCACACATACTGCTCCGATTGTGATCGGGTCTATGAACCATTTTGCGATTCGTTAAAGAATGAATGTATTTGTGATTTAATACCGGTGGGAGAGTGTTTTCCGTTGAAAGAAGATTTTGAAAAATTTTTATTGGATAATAATGTTTGTGATATGTCAAATCATCAATGTAAGGATTTTTGCGGTTGCAAGTTTGTTTGTGGTTTAACGCGTCCAATTGGTTGTTCTGTTTGGAATAAGAAAATTGACTATGAAATGTGTAATTGGCATTCTAATAATTTGGATAATGTCTCACACGATTGTATAGGAAAGGTTTCACATGGATTCGTCAAAAATGATAATTTGTAATTGAATTTTTATTTTTATTTTTTATTTTCATTTTACCTTAAAATAAATATTTTTCCTCATCCAGTGCATGCGCACCGGGATGAGGATTTAATTACGTAATGAATTATGGAAGAAAAGTCAAGTAGCAATAAGAAACGAAAGATTGAAGATGAATCTAAAACTGAAAAAGAAAATCCATCACATGACTCGGAATCGTTACGTGATGAAGGTGTAGAAAAGAAGAAATCATTGTCTGATAATGAGATGACCAAGCGGATGCTTCAATGCAATAAGTCCTACGAACTCAGCAATCTTGTTGATGAAATTGCATTTCAAAGAATCAAGATCGAAGATGAAAATTATAATGAATTTTTAAAAAAACTTCTTCGTTTTTATGAAATTAAACGTACTATACTAAATGAAAGTGAGAAAGAGCTTCCGAAGAAAAAAACAGCTCAAGACTATGAATGGTTGTCAAATGTTCATCAGGGACCTTTGAAAGGCGTGAATTTTGAGATCTATAAGATTCGAAAATTGCTAAGTTCAAATTCTGATGTTTAATTTTTTATTAATTTATATTTTTAATAAAATAAACCTCGCCCAGTGCCTGTGCACCAAGGCGAGGTGTTT